CGTGAGACGGCAGTCTCGTTCGCGTCGCGTGAGCCTGCAATCTCATCCGAAGTCAAGGGCGGCGTGGTCTGCTGATCTGGACGTGAGACTGTCGTCTCATCCGTAGAAGGTGCAGATGACGCGTGCTGTTGACCGGGACGTGAGAATGAGGTCTCAGATGCATCTAGCGTGGGACCTGAAGATGGTTTGAGGATCCCGCTAGGTTTGATAGGTCTAGCATTGAGTCTCAGGGTGTCAGATAGGGCACTGTCATCGACGTGTGCTGGTTTGAGACGATCAATGCTGACGATCTCGACGCGTCCATATCGATCAACCTTGAAGGCCTTTTCGTGACGAGCGATCACGTGAAAAGGGCCTTCGTAAGGTTGTTGCCAAGGTTTGCGTACCGAATCTACTCGTACAAAAACATGTGAACAGGTAGATAACTCTCGAGAGAGAGCGACCTGTCGATGTTGTATTCGAGTTGACACCGGAGACAGCGTTCGCATAAATGCAGACAGTCGATGGACGTAGTCTGATTTACCGAAATTAGGTCTGCTCCGTGGTGTGAAGAATTCTCCGGGCAGACGCAATGTCGTGCCGTATACAAGTTCAGTGGCGGAACATTGGATATATGCCTTTAAGCTCGTTCTCACCCCTAAAAGAACGAGCGGTAAGGTTTCGTGCCAGTTGCCGTTTTCGTGTGCTCGTAGAACACTTTTAAGTTGGCAGTGAAACCGTTCAACTTAACCATTTGGTGCTGGGTGGTAGACGGATATGCTTATGCGTATGCATTCCGTACCAAGCAGCCGGGTCAGCGAGGAGAATAGTTAATAGGGTAACATTTCTCGAATAAAGCGTGGAATTCATCATCACGCGAATAAAAAGTGACAAGGGTTCGGTACACATACGTGTGAGTCTATTATATTAATACTATTCTTATCGTTATCCATCATGTCGCGTATATTATATATTAAAAAATATGAAAATATACGACAGACGTGGATAGATAAATCATAGACTCACCGAATTGGCTTCTTTGGAAGATTTGATCAGAAGTTGAGGCGTGTTCCAAAATACGGGTCACCAATTGTAGCGTGGCGTCGAGTTAACTGTGAACACCGCTACCAAGAAACACGTGCCAAGCGAATCAGAAGGCGTAAGAAGCTCGTTCCAAATGACTCCACAAAATCCCCGAGAAGCCGAATACCAGAAGGCAATTAATGGACCAAGTCGAGATATTTATTTGCTGGCGATCTCGTGGCATCGAAAGGATACCGAGATCGCGCCAGAATACAAGCTTGGTTACAGAAGGTAACCGAATTCGCGCGAAGTTGCAATCGAAGTGTGAGTATAAGAATGGAAGCACAAAATAGCTGTCATTAGCACAGTCAAACAAAAGCACATTAAAACAAACACTGGTACAGTTGGTTATAATAATAATTGTTTTTATTAAACCAGTCGTGTTCTCGTGATAAACGTGAGTCTCTACACATCTTTGCCATCGAGCAATTCGTTCTTCAGGATCTTTAAAATTCTCCAATAAACTCGAACTTTTATGATATGTTTGAAAACGAACTTACGTGCTTTTTATTTTTGAATGAAGTAACCGACCACTAGCAATTCTTTCAGTTGCAGATATAAGACATAATTTTTCACACAGCGTTTTAACGCAATGTGTCATAAATTCTTGCTTGATATTTAATATTATGACGGAAATTTTAATTAACTGGACGATTTTTGGTTTAATTGCTGTTGGATTTTGAAATCTGTCATACATTCTACTTGTTCGACCGCTCTATACAATACACAAGAAGCTTGATTATAGATTGGAAAAGATTAATTGCACTATCCGTATATAAATCTTGTGTATTTTGGAGCTTATATGAAGAGTTTAAAATCTATATTTTGTTTGTTAAGGTCCGTGTAATATTTTTAAGAAGACAAGTATACTTGGTCTAGATACGGCCAAAGTTGTGATGATAAGGTAGTAAGATTATGTATTAGGGTGATACTATAATTTATGGACGACCATTGAGCGACATCAAAGTGACATTGAGTGTGCCTCCCTTTTTACTGGGGCTAAATGGGTGTTATAAAACAGTTTGAAGAATAAGGATCATGGTTAGCAGTTGATGGTTAGGGTCAGGGATTAGATTTCCGTTTCTGAATCATGAAATGATTTCAGCTAAAAGGACCAAACGCTATTTGGCCAAATGGGTGAATGAATTTCTAGCCAAAATCCAAGACCTGTTATCTTGAATCTGACTGGTTCGTCCATAAAATATAGTCTTTCCCTTTAATATGTCATATAGTTATCATTTTGCAAGTTTTTCCATCACTGAAGGAATCTTTCAACTTGAGGTATTAGAATACAATTATATCAACTGGGAAGTCAAGACAATGAACAGCTGCGTATGAAGTTATTTAATTACTCCTATGATCGGCTATTTGTATAAGTGATCCAAAAGCATTCAGTGATTGTGGGTAAGGTCTGTAGTGGCATTGGACAATAGCCACACAATCCACAAAGCTGTGAACACGAGACTACTCGGAAAATAGATATTCAATATTTAACTTGGGTAAATACCTAGCAATGGAGAAGGCGCGGAGAATGAGTTGAATGGACTGGAGTTGATCGAGTGGCATGGCTCGTCCATGCAGGCGTGGTCCATCTCAGTGTTACTTTATATCTTCTATTCATATTAAATATATTGTTCTTTCTCTAGCCTAACCTTGTTCCTCATCATGTATTGGTAATTGATACGATACAGTGAGTTGGTGTAGTCGATGGTGTGACTTCCACGTAAGACCTTATAGATTAGGCAGTTATATCATGACAAATCGACAAGTTTAGGATTAGGTTTATTATTAGAGCAGTACTAATATCATAGTAGACCATAATTCTACAGGTCTTTGCTGCTTACGGTTAACAACATCCAATTTGATTAGCTCCTACTTGCTAAAATTAGTTCACACCAACTTATCTACAGTGAATACCTCAATAAATTATTCCTAAATTTTCTTGGCGGTGATAGACAAATCTGATAGTCTTCTTAACTTGACAAGTGGTTGTACTGTGAAGTTATGAAACGTGTGTTGAATTCATGAATTTTTTTCTATCCACTCATGTTTCATACATTTTGCCTGAAACCATAAGCAGATGACGCAGTACAGAACGTTCTTGCATTTTATACAGTTCCGATTGTTGTAAGTTAGAGAAGCTGATAAATAAAAGCTGTACTCTCTTCTAGGTCGACCATACTTAGTGAAAAACGATATAGGGAAACGTCTGCATTCCTACACAAACTTGCTCACTAGCGTTCTAAATGAAGTGGGTTTTCTTTAGCAATATACGGACAACCAATAAATACTGATAAATGAAAGCTTCAAATTAGTACAGTTTGTGCTCCTGAAGATACAGAAGTCAATGTAACACTGCTAAACTGTAGTTCTTCTAATGTAGGAAGTTAGACAAGAACGCTGAGATTTTTGGACGAATAAGAACTAAGTCTAGATTACTACCAGTTTATAGCATGACTTCGTATATTTGAAAGAACAAGAACGTCATAAACAAATAAGTTGTGCACTGTTACAAAAACCGGTAGAAGAATCACATACTAAAATGTAAGAATCAGCAGTCTCAATATAGATTGACGTGGAATGCTGGTCAAGTTGAGCAAACTTACGAATAAACGTGCGAAACGACGTTATTACAGAATCTAGTAAGGATAAGTGCTCTCCATTGCTCTGAACTTTCGAAAAACACATCAGCAAACTACTTAAATTCTTATTAATTAACCGTACCATAGAAGGCAGCCCATTAGCAAAGATTATATGTCACCTGTTTTCATTAGATTGGCCTTAGTAATTGTCCGGGTAGTCTGAGAGTCCTATATTGAGAATTCAGTATTATGGTCATATTAATTTTCGGCGTCCTCCGTAATCGATAGGCTTATAGCTCATCTTCATGTCACTCTGTCCCTTATAACCTTAGACAGTCAGTGGTTAGATTAAAAAGTATTTTGAAAATATCTGTAACATCTGAAGTGATGCCTTCTGGATTCTATATAGCCTACAACGAAACGTTCGGTACTAGTTCTTTCCAACAGGTAAATTTAAAACACAATGGGTGGGATCCTAATCGTAAAGGTTATCTATAAGTATCTTGATGCTAATAAACAACTTAGGTCCACAGAAGAAAGATATATTGTGAAAGTAATACAACCGAGGTCTGAAAATGCACCAAATTATTAAACTGCCACGAAACTAAGAAGTTACTTTGATGGACAGACGTATTCCAGTAACGTAAAATTGTGCAGCAGATAATGAACCAAGGCCATACCGAGTTTTAAATTAAGATCAGGTTCATATTATATCACTGTTAGGTACTAAATTTATATGCCACAGTGGAACTTTGCTGATATCCATTTCGGAATACAGGTAAGTTCGTGCATTATCATAGCCTTGATATCGACTGGCTATTGCTATTATGACTGTAGTGGGGAGAGTGAAGAGACCCATCGAGTTTATTTGTTAACGTGGACGGTTAGTAGAAGAGTGACTCAACAGACAACTAAGTCGTGTTATTTTATTTCGTCGCGAAATAAACTGCACATATTCAACTATGGATGTCTAATGTACTTAGGAGTACTTCATCAGACTGATATCTTCCAGTGAAAAAAAGTACACATTTGTGGGTTTTCCACAAGATCTTAAGACCCCATTTATGCGCTTATGGTAGATGTAATATTTGGAGTCGTGCATACACATTTGCAGAGCAAAATACAGCTCGAGATGGCTGGCCGTGGGATGGGAAACTTCTGCAGTTCAGAATATCGTTTATTAGGTTAACAGTACTCCCACACGCGACCTGTTTCAGCGTTCAGTAAGAAGTGACATTCAGGTTCGAAGAAAACGGTTCATAACTTAAAGGCCCTATAAGAATATAAACAATAGATTCAAGAAGAGTATCATATACTCGTACAGACCCTACGTATTAATATAGAATAAACTAGTACCTTGTCGTTCACAGATGAAATTGCGACACAACGGATCATCGTCGAACAATCAGTTGAGTGGAACTTGTCACTATACATCAACTTCATTGACAATGAGAAGTCGGTTGAGTGCGGACAGGGGAACAATATGGAATTCCTAAGATTGTCGACATTATCCGGAAGTTATACGACCAACTACAGAGCAAAGTTGTGCATGAGTGCAGCTGGCGGATATAGTCCCAATAAGAACCGGAGTCAGACAAGACTGCCCACTCTCCCCCTTCCTTTCTTCTGGTGGTCGAATGGATTGTGAAGACCACAATGGACAGCTCAGAGTCGATTGGAGATCTCAGATGATCTGGCCCTCCTATCCCAAATACACGAACAAATGCAGATGAAAACAACTAGTGTAGCAGCCTGTGCATCAGTAAGCCTCAGTACACACAACGGAAAAAGCAAGATTCTCAAACAAAACACGAAGAACACCAACCCGACCACATTTGATGGAAAACTCTGGAAGATATGGAATCTCCCAAGTTGTTATTCTGAAGATGTTTATGTGCTTCAGGGTTATGGAAGACTGTGTGGCTTATTTAATTTTCCAGAGATGTAAGGAATTAGTAATGCATGCACCCTAAACAGCACATGATGGTGTGAACAACCAACTGAAAATATGAGATATTCAACCAAAGTTGCAGTGAAAAATGAATATTAGGATTTGAATTTATTTTACTGCGATGTGAATATACATTCATTGGGACAAAAAACAAACTGCATAGTAAACAACTCTTTTTGTGACCAAAATTAAAACTGAAGTGAGTAACTGGAGAGATAAAGAATTATATGTTAACTGAAGAACAAGAATAAGATGAGGGACTGGGATATTGTCCAGAAAAAACGTCTAAATGTCATTACTTCACTTGATTCACCGAGAATGAACAAGTTAACATACATTGTAATCATGCATAAACTCATAAAAACATGAGTGACTGCATAAGTCGAAGCGATGTGGTTAAGTTGAAAGGAAGTGAAACTACAAAAAGAAAAGACAAAGACGTTTATTCAATATCCATCAGATCTTGATCCTGAAGATTGGAAGATGAGTTTGCGTTGTCAGGGCGACTATTTTGCATACAACCTTTAGTTATATAATGTGAAGATAAAGCACCATTTGAAAGACCATTTTCATCTGTTTCGGACGAAGAATCTTCTTGTTCTTCATCATTACTGTTGGTCGTGCTGCATATTTGCGTAGAGCCAACTTTTCGGCGTACGTAAACTAACACATATGCTGCACTAGTCTACAAGAAAAGATACACAAACGATCAAACAAATTACGTACACGATGTTAAACTGTACGTATTGTAGACTAATGATGCTAAAATAGGTAGAGTTGAAGTCTTCATAAAACAAACGTAATTTATTGTTTACATGGTACTAGGCCATCAAATGAAGAATTGTATTGTTTTGCTGTTTAATAAATTGAAGAGGTTCAGCACATTAAATATCCTTAATGCAAATAAGACAGGTAAAAAACCTAGTAGTAACAACAACAAAAGTTAATTGAAACGAAAACTTTGAAAAAACACATACAACTTACTACAATTTTGGAAGGATCACATTCTCGTGTTGAAGAATCGTCGAAAAAGTACCATCGATTAGTGTGAGCGTTTAAAGCAAATGCTGTATAGTGACCTCCACCCAAATATCCCATATGATTGCTTACAGCTACTAAGTCATAGATAAATTTCTCGTCTGGTTTCTTTTCAAGTACGCGTGAAGTCAAATTTAAGCCACTAGTGTATTTGTTCAATTAGATTTTAGCAAAGTAAAAATACATTTAAAATAGAATAAGACTGTTAGAAAAATTTATCCAAGATAATTTTCAGAATCATGTGAACAACTAATGATAATAATACGCTGTAATAAACTTCAAGAAATAAAACACCAGATAAACAATACGAAATCAACTATTTTATTCATACTCAACATTCTAGTAAATGAGAAGAGTGAAAGTGGTAAATAATTAGAGAGATCCCCTGAAGAACAATGCAAAGAAATACAAAAATGTATTATAAGAATTCCAATTGAATTCTAGCCTGAAAACACAATATAAAACAATTAATATTTGTCAAATGATATACAGATACGAATAGTCCTAATCTATAATTATTTGGAAAATAAGTATACCGTAATTCAAATGAATTTATTTATTTACTCTGAAGAAGTGGCTTACATTAAGTAATAAAGCGTCAGAAATACAAATTTTCTACTCATTGTGATATAACAAAAATATATTCATTATTAACTTTCTATACAATGCTCAATTTATTTGAAACTATCAAGTTCAACCTAGGCATTGATACTATATACGAAATAACAGGTTTGTAAGACAAAACATGAAAATAATGTTTCAAGAACGTTAAGTTTGATTAGACTTCCAAGAAATAAATTAGAGAAACATCCAAATATGGTTTCTTCAACTAGGCGTGAGATAAAGTTAACTAAAATTCAGGTATACATAATCTTGTAGCCACTATACCTATTACATGAGAATTACACATCCTGTGGTGTGCTACTTATGTCGACATAAGTAGTATATAGCCCTACTTAAGAATAGAATGTCTGGCAGCAGAAGGTTGAGAAAATCGAGGAGGAAAGAATAGGAACAGAAATCAATTGGTATGGAAATACAAGAACAATTAAGCTTGAGACAATTAATAAACATTTAGCAAATGGAGCATTGAAGTATGGTTTTTCCATTATATCAAGTATTTCTGTAATTCTGTGCTAAACATAAGGATCGGCTGTCCTCACCTGTGTTCTCCTTCACTACAATACAACCTTAGTTATTAAAGGAAGAGAACACACAGTAAGGTGCACGAGTATATGTAATCACAGCTTGAATAACACTAGAAACTCACAATAAAATTAACTTACGTTAGTGGGAATTCCAGTAAAGTATCGATTTTATCATGAAATCGTAAATGAGATCGGAAACGCTTTAATTGTACTACAAGAACGTCAGGAAGTTTCCATAAATCAAATTTCTTTGTAGCTGGTTTTTCCGCTTTGCAACGACTACAGTACCATAGATCTCTTGAGCCTAATTGTTCTATGTCAGTAAAACGTTCGAAACAATCTGAAAGTTTCAGAGTTTCATTAAGTCGTGTGACAGGATGTTGTTGTACATGACTTCGAATGTCATTGAGTCTACGTCGTATTTCTAAACTTTGACAGTCTAAAATGATACTATAAACGTCAGAACCTGGAGAGGAAACAGAATTTGAAAAAATTATATATGTTACAGCGTTGTTTTAGAGAAACTTTATCAAAAAGGAATAAAATAAATAGATCTACACCAAATTGATTGAGAAATATCTGACTAGATGGCAGAAATTGTGCTACATTATATCGTTACACATGGCTATTGACATTTCATAGTGGTAAAAGCAACTCACATACTTGTACCAACTGTGAGTAATCTTTAAATAATGATCATACAAACTTTCTACGTGCTGCACATAACAGGGAACGGAAAAGCTATAACAATAAAACATTTTAAGTTATCCTGCTGTGCAGGAAAATCTATAAGTAATGATTAACCAAAGCAAGCGGTTCCAATTACCGGCTAGATCACTAAATACAAACAAACAATTCACAAAATTAATAGTGAAGGAAAAATACCACAACCATTGCTGATATATATATATATATATATATATTTCACAGGTTGAAATCATGAGTCAGTTGAAGCTAGACCACCATTGAAAACCTGGAAGCACTGGACGGCCGTTTCGTCCTGGTATGGGACTCCTCAGCAGTGCGCATCCACGATCCCGCACCACACGGGGCTCGAACCCAGGACCTACTGGCTTCGCGCGCGAGCACTTAACCACTAGACCACTGAGCCGGCATCCAACGGTGTTAATGTCTAACTTCAACCAATCCACGAAGTTGCGCCACCGTACACCATTGTCTTCAGTGAGTTGTTATCTCACAACAGACCGGTTGAACTCCACTGGTAACGGTTTCTCACTAGAACTCCAGGAGTTTTTCTTGAAGTCAGTCACTAATGAGCAGTTGATTATTATCAGAATGGGTTTTGTGGAGAGTTTTTAGAAATTTCACAGGTTGAAGTCATGAGTCAGTTGAAGCTAGACCACCATGGAAAACCTGGAAGCACTGGACGGCCGTTTCGTCCTGGTATGGGACTCCTCAGCAGTGCGCATCCACGATCCCACACCACGCGGGGCTCGAACCCAGGACCTACTGGCTTAGTGGTCTAGTGGTTAAGTGCTCGCGCGCGAAGCCAGAAGTTCCCGGGTTCGAGCCCCGCGTGGTGTGGGATCGTGGGTGCGCACTGCTGAGGAGTCCCATACCAGGACGAAACGGCCGTCCAGTGCTTCCAGGTTTTCAATGGTGGTCTAGCTTCAACTGACTCATGATTTCAACCTGTGAAATTTCTAAAAACTCTCCACAAAACCCATTCTGATATATATATATATATATATATATATATATATATATATATATATATATATATATATATATATGATTGTGATTTGGAAAACAAAACCAGATGTTAAATTATCATATGATTCTCATGAAACGGAAAAACAAGATAGGACTCATATAGATGCAGATTGGTTTTGAAGTGAGAAATTATAAATTTACCTATTTGGTTAACTCAATTTTTAACCTAGTACTGAACTGCTTAACATGGTTGTTACGTTTTTACTTACGTAGTATTCCTTGACTAATACTGAACGTCACTAGACCTGACACAGATCATAAAAATGAACTACGGTCAAGATATATTCTAAAGAACATAAATATCAAACAATAAGCAGTAAACAAGAGTGCATAAAATACATTTGGGAAACCATATTAGCACCTTCCTGATGTATTTCAACCTAACTACACTTCAAAAGAGTTAAGATATTTCAGATTAAGTAAAATACAGACCACATAAAAAGTAACAATTCTGCAAAGTAACTAAAACTGGAAAACATTGGAAATATTAACTGGCATGATAAAAAGACATAAATCACAGTGAATCGGAATGATTCCTGAAGGATGCTGTAATATATAAAGTTTGAAAAGAACATACTAAACATAATGCTAAACGTTGACTTTCACAAACAGGTTAATAAATGTTAAAATTAGCTGGCATAGAGCACTAATGTACCCATTCCTTTACTTCGTATGCATTAAAAATGTGCAAAAACAATCCATAGCACAGTCTGAATATTAAGTCAAAATTATTTAAACGTGAATAAAAATGTTGACTATGATATTCGAAATAGCGAGAAGAAAAATAAATAACACTGCTTATTACAAACTGATACACTACAATTCGTGAGTAGAAGTAACATTTATCAAAAGTGATGTCCCAGAAAATCTAAAAGACCCACATACATTCCAATTATGTAAACAGACTACATAAAGTGTTACGTAATTCTTGTATTGCTTTTCATAATCCATGTATAGTAAATCTGAGGAGTTTAAGCACAGCACTAATGGTAAAGAAACTTCTATCCATTAACGCAAGTGAAAATTCGACTTACAAGGGAGAGATATTAAAGCATTTTCTGATTCAGCTAACCAATCATGCCCTCTGGTATCCTTCATACATAAACGTCCTTTGAGTAATGAGACTAAATTGCCCATTTTACCTTCAGTAGTTCGTTTCGATTGATCAAAGAGATCGGTTGAGGTTGTATGAGATTTATCTGGATGGGAATTACTATGAAAGTTGCTTAGCGAACAAGAAACAACTGAGTTATCTGTATTTTCGTCCTCTAACTTTGATGTGTCACTGATCGGTTCACTATTTATACCAATAGCATGTAAACGGTCAATAATGTGTTTGATAAGTATATCTTCCGAGACGGTAATGGTCATTCCTGTAACACCATCATTTATTGGCAAACTAATATAGACAGGGAAGTTGATACCCTGGGCAATGCTGAAATAGGATTAAAGGGAGATTACCCGTAAAATTCATATTAAATGAACCTAATAATAAAAATTTATTAAATGATCCGAAACAAATTCTACAACGAATACTTTGTATTTTTATCCATACAATCACTACGGAGTTGAGATTTATTTATTTAAGTATTCGAGTACTAAGTTGCAATTATGGGCTCCTCTGGTTTATTTATCCGATTTACATGAAACAAAGAAACGAGAGGGTTAATATGGTTGTGACCGTCATTGATATACAAAGTTACATAATTACTGGGTGGTACCACATAAGTGATGGAACAACTATTTAATAGTTTATCTAGGTTGTAGTGTTTACTACGCAAAGCCCACGTGGGATATTCTAGCTTCTGGACAGACCGACTTGTTAATTCTTTTTGAGCCACATTTTGACCTTGTTAATCATTCACTTATTAAAACTGATTGCTTTTATATGAGCGTATTTGTGGGTATTACTTATCCTAATCATCACCAGTCTATAATTTATTTTTGTCTAACTATAAATATCGAGTCACACTTGATCAAATCGAGTTTGCTCACTCGCCTTCTCCGCGTCGCTTAGCTTTCTCCACTTCATTTCTGATTGTCTGTCCGGATCCATGAGTGTACAAAATATACACATCCAAAATCCATTCTCGTATTGAACTTATTTCACTAACGCGATTTAAGTCAATAAATATATACGAGGGTAGCCGAGATGTACATTTCGATAACCTCATGGATAATATCATCATACCACTACAAAAGTAGTAAGCCCCAATTCGAAGTAAACACAATTTGCAAAACTATGCAGACGATGAACATCTCGAACTCTATGCATCCGATAAACGGACCAAGTGGCTGACTTAATCGATGAGTAACTCAAACGATTTAATCTTTAATCTGATGCATTCAAGGAAGCCAGTACAACAGCATAAAATTTTCCTGCTCGAAGTGAGTTTATTCCCTTTCATCGTATTATTTTTGCCCCATTATTACACTCATTCACGTGGCTTATGTCATTTTTATTTTACCGTACCAGACACTACAAGGTTATATCCAGATGATGATAGATCACTGGCACAATAGGAGTCCATTTTCTTTTGAAATGGTTGCTCTGATCGTAGTGTACAAATTGATGAGGTTGGAATCGAACTTTAAAGAAAACAAGTGTTTTAAGGTAGTTAATAATGCCATAATAAAATCTATTGACCAAATATATTTTGAGGTAACACTTAATGATGACGTTTCATGAATTCACTTACTTATCATTTGTCCAGAGTACAGGAATCGGGAAACCTTCAGTCAGTTCATAAACGATCGGGGAGGCATACCTTGACCGATCTACAGATTTGTTTGGTATATAATACTGTACGAACAAAAATAATAAAATGTTTCAAAAAGGAGAATTTGATACAACAGTAGTGTTTGTTACATTAATAATATATATTATACTGAAGCTTATTTTCTCGAGGTTTTCACTCAAACCAGGATTAATTACAGATTCACTGCCTGGACGTCATATCGTTCTTTCTTAACAACATAAACATGAAAGCTGCCGAGTGTTTACCACTTCAGAAGCTGGTTTTAAACTCGCTCCGCTTAATTCAGTTTGAGAAGTAAAATAATAACATTGATCTGTATACAAAATAGATATATGGCTAGTGCCACTACTACTCCAGTGTAGGTTTCAATAATATGTATTGTACAATAACTGAAACATAGTAAGGGACAAAAGTAATCTACACCTGAAAAGCTTCGTCTTTTCTAAACTTATTTATCAAAAGGACTAACAGTTTTAAATTCGACGAATCAAGTGTTTTCAACTTGAAGTGCATTCGTCTTGTTGGTAATACTCTAATTATGTAATAGACTGAGTTTGCTTTAATATGTTTGTCGATTGGTGTTTGCCTAATGACTATCGGATTTTTTGTTACGATTAACTTGATTACAATGGGTTTTAATAACAATTTACCTGACAGCCTGGAAGAGGTGGACGCTCTTGTTCTAATGCTTCAATAATATTTTGACCACAAGGTATTGTGGAAAGTGTTAACTCTAATAGAAGAAGTTGGGATTTATTGGATGCCCACGGCCAAACATAAACGCGTACCGAATATTTGTATACTTCTTGTATAGGCAAAATTAATGAAGCAAATGGATCAAAAGTGACTGATTTCCTTTGACAAGTAGGACAAATTACTGTGGATTTCAGCTGGCCGTGGAAAAGATCTACAATGATGGAATCATTTCTTGACTTGTAATACTCCCAGGCTTCATTCGCAACTTCCTTGTGTAAACGGAAGCATAAGATTTGAAGAATAGAGGTAAAAAGTGAATTAAAACAGCAGATGATTAATTAAACGAATAAAAGTTTTAGAATCTACTTTGTGTTTTTATAGATATGCTATTCTTTTGTGAATTATTCAACTTGTTACTTTCAAATTCCAATTAAACTAACTCACATTGAATGTAATTCATATCACAGAATGACTAATGACGCACAACTATCGAAAACTGGAAAGCTTTTTGTTTCAGCATAAGATTCCACAATCTATTCAAGTCGGACAATCCAATATCATGAAGGTCCTCTAGCTTAAAGTTCCTAGATCTAGTTTCACCAACATTGATGGAAAGGATCTTAGTTTTTTTGCTTTTAATCTTGATGTGGGTGGGGGTGACAACTTAGACCAATAAATACTTTTCTGGGTTTCCCATAGTTTATGGTTAATAGACTTAGTTTTGAGGTTACGAGTTGTTAGCCAATAAAATAAAACGTTAGCCTAACCTCTAGTCTAGATCAATTTTAAATAGGGATTTTAAGATTACAAAGTGTGGAATTTCTATTGAACGCTTGAAATATCAAAGCATCATTGAAGGCTTAAATCACTGCGACTGTTAAAAAATCAGATGTATATTTTCTATGTCGGATGTGTGAGTCAAATTGTGAAGAAAAACCTCAATTAACGAACTGTTAGTCAAAGAACTTGTTTAGAGAACGTACAAACTAGAAATCATGAGGCAAAGGATGTGACGGATCCGCTTTAGCGATTGATATAGATATAGTGGTATAAAACCAGAATAAATTTAACTCCAATTGACTTAAGAATTGACAAAGCGAAAACTATAATCAATAAACAAAACATGGTAATAGAATAAACTTACAATATCCGGTCTGCCATCGGAATCTTTCACTTCTATATAAGGCTTGGAGTGTATTCTATTCAAGTCCTCATGAAGTCCATCCAATAAGAATACAAGTAGTTCATGAGTGTCATGTTGAGCGTATCCAGAAAATTGACGAGCAATACGTGCAATTTCAATCTAAGATTTAAATACAAATCAATATATATATATATATATATATATATATATATATATATATATCACAATAGACAACGAATGGTAGTAAGCCAAGAATGATCTTTTGATTCAAATGGCGACACGAAGTTTGTGAGTAAATGGAGATCAGCTGAAAGTAACTTGAAAGCTATTAATCAGAAACTACAGATCATTGCCAAATTTCAATGACAAAACCGTTTGTTTATTAATAAGATCGTATAGAAAATTCAGTAGATCCAAAATGACTGATAGTTAAAATAATAGTAACTTAGTAATCACAAATTACATTAGATGGTTAAGTAAACATTATATCACAAGCTATAATTTCGGATGAAACATGTAGCTTTTAAGGAACAAGTAATGTTCTAACAAGAAGGGATGCATCGTAAAGACAAGAATAAATGATTATTAGAATTCAGATGAAATGTTGAGAAATAACTGCAGAAACTTGATACTAAAATGTACATAAATAGCACAAATATTTGAGGGGTTTCGTTACTTTGGCAACTGGAATTTCTTACTGTTATTAGTTTGCACATTTGCACAGAAAGTTATTCAATGAAAAACCACATGACCATTAATTAATAAACTGTGTGGCGCATATATATTGGCGCTCTCTTGTACCAATATTCATGTGTCCAAATAAATAAATAATTAATTAATAAACTTCACTTTGGATAGCAAATCAGTGAAACTAATAATTCACCTACCTGAAAATGTTCTAGAGATTTGCCTAGGGAAACAGATGTTATTTAATTATGATGTATAGAGTGAAGTTGGATAAAAGCCTAAGGAGCAGATGAATTCGAACAACCTAATTTATACAACGTTGAAAATTAGCACAATCATAGACTCATATTCCAAACAACCACTGGTCGGTAATAAAACGACGTAAGTAAAATTAAGTTTAAATAAACACATTAGAACATTCTATACAATAATAATGTAGAAGCCATACAACAAACAGATATCAAGAAATACATACCTTAAACTCACGAGGCACAGCATATGCTCGCGTCCCCGACCACAGCTGCTTAATGAGATCTGCGTAAGCAGTAGCAATTCTTCCTTGAGATCCAAGTGGATTACGTATATTTAGTTCTGACTTCCATTTACCACTTAGGAAGTAACTGGTTAATGCAGGAACATTGGACATACACTGAAGAGCACTATTCATAAAACAGGTATTTCCCAAGTTATTGAGACCACAAACTCCTGGTACTAAAGGCGGACTGGACCCATGTAACGATAGCATCTGAGATTCAGGTTGAGATCCTATAGAGTCATTCGACTTCAAACGTGAACTATTTACGCATACGCTACATTCAAAGAAGAATAGTATTGATACAATAAAAAACAAACGTGAGATATTCATTTATTAAGTAATAAATAAGGCTAGTTATTAAGACTAATATGAACTCAGAATAATATATATTTAAAAAATTCTATCTTTACCGCACTAAGCGTAACAAACTTAAATTAAATGCATCATCTGTCCTGAACTTTAAAAAAGAAAAACATTCGGACAATTAACTGCTTAATCACTTTATATTTGAATAAGAGATAAAACTAAATTCCTATCAGTATATTTAAAAAATCAATATGTTCACTAAAGTGCAATAGGCCTGATACATACATTTTACAGTTACTTAACCGATGATTCGAATAGTTTCGTTACAAAACCAGTGATCAGTAACTTGTAAACAATACTGATTTAATGTCAGTGGGTCAATTCTAAGTAACAAATGAATAATAAAGGAAAATCAGAAAGGTTAAAATCATATACAATGTAGGCTGAGCAAAAACTGTTTTAATACTTACTCACTGCGTATTCCATTTCTAGGTTCCAGATGAACAAAAATAACCTGAGAGAAAAAAACCCAAGATTTATAAGCATAAGAGGTTACTTGATTAATACACAAGTATTTTACAGCCGTTGGAAGTGGTTTACTACGAGCTTTAGTGACACACAGTATATATCCATTTTTGTAGACCATAAGAAATAAAAGCTGTTGTCGGATCCAAGATCTTAACTAATCAATCAATAGGGTTTTTTGTGAAGTAGTTTGATGGCTGGTAACTTGCAACTAGATCCTTGACTTACTAATACTGTGCGAAATCCCATACAAATATTTGAAACCACTTAGTCTATGGTTTTGTTAAATTAGTAGTACTGTGAATCAAATAATCAGATCAGTGTATTTATTCCTAGTGGTCATGTTGCACAGTCGCATGACAAAGTACTATGCAATGATTCTTTTTGGTTAGACATAGAATAGATGGAAATAACTGAATTTCATATTTGGACCAACTATAGCTCCTCGTCTACTAGATATAGTTTTGTACACCTGTAGCAAGCCAAGACACGTTCACGATTTGAGCTATATTTATTGCGTTGAAGCTACAGACACCAACTTGATATCAAAAAAATATGTAGGGCAGGTTTGGAACCCGTGACAAGCGGGATGAAAGCTGAGTCCAGTATGAGCCGAAGCTCTACATGGAAAGTAGCAATATAAAGAATTGAGACGACAGGGCAGTCTACCTAAGAGTTGAGCAATATTTCAAAGTTGGAGAAAACAACAATCTCACCCCAGTAGTGTACCTGACTAATATAACAGAAATAAATATTGTACACCATTAGGTGGTCCGTAAATAGAAGGCAACAAGTATTCCGTCTTGTTTTTAGAAGTTAATTACATCATGTAAATGGTTTAAAATAAACAGCTTGTTTGAGTTAAGATTACTGCTTTGAATATTTGTTAGTTATTGACTAATTTGATCAGAGTTAGTCATTAGTAGGATATTCTGAAACAAAACCAACGATCACGATCTCTAAACAAACATAGCCTCGATAAAGTTATCTGCATTAACTGGAGCCATCTTTCTTAATCCCATTAAAAACACAATAGAATGAATATAAAAACTAAGACTAACTGTAGATTACAAGGCACGTCAATCTAAAAGTCGACAGATGGTAACGGGTTCTACACGTTAAGATGAACATTAATGATAACGTTTATGGGGCTCAAGAAGTAAGTTTCCGACTAGATCCCGAAAAACAATGAACGCTGAGGGTACATTGTCAAAGCAACTTCCTATATTAAACGGAATTGCTAAAACCTGGAACGAACTTAACGCATTACTGCTACTATTATATATTCTGGTATTCTTGAAATGAATAGAAAACTACAAGGTGCCAACTACCTAAACCATATCACAATTGGAAATCGAATATATCGGTCTATAAAATATGCTCTTTGAAGCCATGATTACTAAGCGAAGTGTTCCTATCTTTTTTACAATCAGCAAAAAGCTCACTGAAATTTTACTTTTTCACGCTCCAGGTTAGCTTCTTCTATGGTAGCATCTTCATCTTCTAATTCTTCAAACTCATTTTGCTCATTGTGTATTGATAAGTGAACATTCACGCCAGGTGCTGCTTTAAGATGTTGCGCGACTATCAGTTTAAGTTCTCCTGAAAAGTAATTAAGGGAAACCACCACATACTTATTGTCTGAAACTTGCAATATGTCCCTTCAAACAGGAAAGTGGCACTTGAATTTGGAGGATTTAAGTAAAATGAGTAGTGAGGTGGATATATTTCGATTTCCGCTGACTTTGGAGCTTGGATGGCACGCCGTTCGAAGACTGAAATGTCTGTGTGCGTACAACCATAAAAATCAACAAACAGCTTCCACACATTTCTAGGTATTAACGTGATGTCATTTTCTAAGAGCAAGTTCTCTTTTAATTTTCCATCACCTACGTTAATATAAGACATATATAGACAAAATCCTACATAAAATATCACTGTTATCAACTTTTCCTGGATACTCTTCCGAGGTTTCGTCAACCATCCCACTTTTGGAAACCGAGTCCACAAATTCCTCCCACTTCGTCCACCAGTTAAGAGACAGGATATACCTAGGATGGACAATAGCGACAAGCTAAACACGTTACCATAAGTCTCCTTTTGTTATATCTACATTCATTAACTCATCAACTTTGGCTTTTTGAGTAGCGAAAGTGGCAGCACTTATGCAGTTTCTGAAAATAGAAGTAAATGGGACGTTTACAAGCCTTTGGAGAACAAATTTACAGGTAAACGGTAGATTTTATACACACATCGCCAACTTACTGCGAGACCATTCCTAACCGCAACTTTCTTAAAACAAGCGGTGAAAGTTGCAACGCTCATCATTGCTTAACAGAAACAAAGTCAGTCTTCAGTAATAAGGATAGGAGGTTGGTGAACCTGTAGTGGCATTGAACAATAACCGCACAATCCACAAAGCTGAACACGAGACTACTCAGAAAATAGATATTCAATATTTAACGCGGAAAAATACCTAACGATGGAGAAGGCGCGAAGAATGAATTGAATGGACTGGAGTTGATCGAGTGGCATGGCTCGGCCATGCAGGCGTGGTCTCTGCTGAATGTTACCTTATATCTTCTATTCATATTAAATATATTTTTCTTTCTCTAGCCTAACCTTGTTCTACATCATGTACTGGTAATTGATGCGATACAGTGAGTTGGTGTAGTCGATGGTGTGACTTCCACGTAAGATCTTATAGATTAGGCAGTTATATCATGACAAATCTACAAATTTAGGATAAGGTCTATTATTAGAGCAGTACTAATATCATAGTAGACCATAATTCTACAAATCTGTATTAATCCTGACACATTGCTTTCCAGTGAAGGTCCAGCTTCTCCTTGAAAATATTCACTGATGGGGCTGATACCACTTGTTCAAGTAAGGCGTTCCAATCATTGACTACTCGATGAGAAAAACGGGACCCCACTTTAAGTTTATTAGATCGTGGTTTATGAACCTTCTTGCTATGACCTCGGAGATTATTAGTGCTGGAGGGAGCAAAAAGATAAGACATATTAACACCCAGATCATAATTAAAGATACGAAATGCCAGTATAAGGTCACCTCGTGTCCTACGATACGACAAAAGGAAAAGGTTTAGGCGTTTTAAACGTTCATCGTAAGAGAGTCTAGAAAGACCCTTCACTAATTTTGTTCCCACACGCTGGACACGCTCAAGGGAGTTAGTATCCTTTATCAGACACGAGCCAGCTGCTTGGATACAGTACTCTAAATGCGGTCTTACATATATAAGATATAAAATTCGAAACGTTTCCCCGTCAAAAGATTTGAACGCTCAGCGAAGTGACCACAACCTTTGACAACAGCTGCTTTGCAATGCGTAGTTGTTTTTAAATCATGACTTATTACTACTCCTAAGTCTTTATGTTCTTGAGTACATGGTAGAGGTTAACCCTCATTAGTATAACGGTAACTATCACCGTGACCGATGTGCATTAGCACACTCTTCTTAGCATTGATTTCTAAGCCCCACTCTCGAGCCCATCCAACTAAATCGTCTAAGTCAGCTTGAAGATCCAGATGATCAGCCGCACTTTTTATTGTTCTCCAGATTTTTACATCATCCGCAAGCAGTAATGTCGACGACCTAAGCAACAGCGCTAACTCATTAACGTGGAGAAGGAAGAACAGAAGGCCTAAGATGGTGCCGTGGGGTACACCACTTTTGACCGGCTTCCAATCGAATAGCGTCCCACTGACCCTCACTCTCTGTCTGCGGTTACATAAGAAGTTTCCTATCCACTCATGTACACTACCTATTATTCCGAAGCTCGTGAGCTTCTGCATAAGACCTATGTGTGAAGCCTTGTCAAATGCTTTGCCAAAATCTATGAATATCACGTCGACAGACAGGCCGTTATCTAGGGCTACTGTTCAATCCTCTCTCGCAATAAGCAAGTAAATCAAACATGAACGCTTGTTACGAAATCCGTGTTGTTCAGGAGCTAACAGATTGTGTAAATCTATGTGGCTTAGCAACCTAACCCGAATTATCTTTTCAAGTAACTTAACGACTATGCTAGTTAGACTGACAGGCCGGTAGTTAGATACTATCTGTCTCTGATCCTCCTTAATTATAGGACTGACTATAGCGACCTTCCAATCTCTAGGGAGTTGAGCGAATGAAAGGGACATGTTGAAGAGTGTCACGAGAGATTTTGAAATAATGTCCGCAAGAGATGACAGCAACCGTGGATGTAACCCGTCAGGGCCCGGTATCTTACAAGGTTTGAGGTTAGTTATCAACGGACGGACAGTTTCCTCAGTCACCTGTACAGATTCAATGGTTGGTATCTTGGTGTGAGTGGGACAAGTATTTGTTACAATAAACGTAGAGTAGACTTCGCTAAAATAGTTTGAAAAAGTCTCAGCTTTTGCTCGATCTGATTCAGCTAATAAATCTGAATTTTCGTGTGACAGCAACGGGGGAATACCATCACTACGTTTCATTCGCCGTTTAACATACGAAAACAGTCGTTTCAGACAAGTACGGCTATCATATACTTGTAGAACTATGGTCTACTATGATATTTGTACTGCTCTAATAATAGACCTAATCCTAAATTTGTAGATTCGTCATGATATAACTTCCTAATCTATAAGATCTTACGTGGAAGTCACACCATCGACTACGCCAACTCACTGTATCGTATCAATTACCAATACACGATGAAGAACAAGGTTAGGTTAGAGAAAGAACAATATATTTAATATGAATAGAGACCACGCCTGCATGGCCGAGCCATGCCACTCGATCAACTCCAGTCCATTCAATTCATTCTCCGCGCCTTATCCATTGTAAGGTATTTCTCCGTGTTAAATATTGAATATCTATTTTCTGAGTAGTCTTATGTTCAGCTTTGAAGATTGTGTGGTTATGGTCCAATGCCACTACACTACTCTCCCACCAGAATCAACGTGATGTTGGTTCGATACCAAATTGGATGGGATCGTCGCGCGCCGGAGGTTACCAAGGATAATAAAAATCCTCCGGGTATTGGTAAGCTGAAGGATAAATCAAAAACAAGGCGGCAGCATCTGGTCGGGAAATACATGTAATAATTTTGAAAATATCTACCTTCATGCTTAAAACGCTTGAAATGAAAATTTGGGTGAAGATTATTTTAACTATAAAGAATGGCATAACAATAATAATAATAAAACGATGCGTGCTAATAGCCGTTGGTTAATAACTTAACGTATAGGTAGTAAGTATTTTGTGTTTAGAAATATTAAAGTGATGAATATTGTAGAAATGTTAATATTGGTATTAGCTTTGGTTTAAATTATGAAATCAAATAACGATTATGCCGGTAAGTTGTCCATATGAGTTGAATTCCAATTGCATCTGTATTAGTAGGCTAACTGAAGGAACAAAAGTATACCGTGGAGAAGAATTCCAACTAGTGTTCCAGTTAGTTTGATACGGTTTATTTAGTAACGGGGAGATTTTCTCAACCTTATTTTTACTTGACCGTGATAGAATTTAGTAATACTACTAATACACATGAATGGTTATCAAAATAAAATTTAAATACATGAGTGATAATTATATGAATTTTGGACAGATAGCTAGGAACAAATCGTTAAACATGAGTGTATTCGTAAGAGACATGCTCTGGACTCAATGTTCTGATCTGCAGACTATTTATTTATATTTATACTTGCTGGCTGATTGGGCATACAAGTATGCAAGTATGCAGTTTATCATAAGGCGGAATACGATTTAATTGAGATATAGTGGTTATAGGTTATTAAAATCAGTTAGGCCTGTCATATTACGAAGTGATGTGGTGCTGCAAGATGTATTTAGCTAAATAAGTTTTTACAAGATGATTAGTATTGAGTGATGCTCATGTGATTAACAGGGAGAACATAAGTTGTAACCAGGGGGAGTACACTCCCAACTCATGTCTATGGTAATGGCTTGAACCTTAGTCAGTGTTGGGGTAAATTCGACATTGATGTTTTCAGTTTACAGGAGGTTTGCTCGACTGCTTATACTGATTATTTGCATGCATGATTGTGTCGCTAAACCACCAATTAGACTGACAAGGTTTCGAGATATTTACTGAATGAGCAACTGATAGAGAAACATACTGTAATCATCTGTGGTGAATGAAGATAAAAGAAAAACAACACTAGTGATAATTGTAAGTCAATTTGCTGACCGATTTTGTTAATAGTTTCATTAATTTTATCAATCATATTACGTGATTGTCAAGTCATGACAATGCTTTATGACGATATCCTGAAACTATTATGTTTAACTAGTTATAGTGTTGAATGAGGATTAGTCAGTGGAAAAATAGGTAATGTTGCTTTAGGTGATTCGAGATTGTCAGAAATTTGTAACGTCAAAGAATCCGAGACGCCTAATTTAATTATAAATTTTAATTCAGAAAGATTCGTTTAGTGTTAATTCTAGTAGGCTACGGAATTTTGATTTTAAACGTTTGTTTAGCCAACAGCTACCTAGGGACTTAGTTATTTTACTAGTGCAGTTGATAGTACCTAAATTTTTAATCTTATTATCTAAACTATGTTCGCATTTTAGGCTGCTAATATGATAAACCAATCCATAAACCCAAATACGATTAGCAACAACGACTATGATGGGTTTATTGATAAATGTTAAAAGCGATTCAAATGATTTCTAAATTTAGAAGACATGAAGATATAGTGTTACGTATGTACGGACCAGGTTAACAAGCAGGTTGTTGACGTATATAAAAATTTAAAAATAATGAACATGACCAGAAAATAATTTTAAAGTTTAGACTGCTTGTGAAGCTTCAGGCAGGAATATGACGCGTTATAAACATTCCATAAGAAGTTACTGCATTTAGCCTAGGGACACTTACAAATATATAGCAAAAGGAACCAGAAAACATATACATGTTAAGTAAAAAAAAATCATTAAGTAAAATAGTTGAACTCGCCTGGATTATTTTTGAAAATTAGATTATTTAGTGGACGACATATATAACCCCATTCGTGAGTAGTAATGATCCAAAAGCATCCAGAATAAAACATGCAGTATGGCAATCACTTCCAGGGTGCTTGATGCTGTTGACGTTTCTGCCACTCGCTCGGATCAGAACAATCGAATGAATTCAGTTAATTGTGTGGTTGTTATTGAACGAGCCATCTAAAATGAACTTATGATTGCAGAAAACCTATAGATGAAACTCACCGTATGTTTTTGGAGAAGTGTCATCCTTGTTGTTTGGCAATGGAACTAGAGAATATGAAAGTAGGCAGGCAGTGGTCAGAAGAAAAGATAT